CTGAGATCGACTGAGCACTGTGTTCCCCCAGCCAGCCCGCCGTCTGACGGTTAAATCTAGCGCCTTCAAACTTGGCGCATGTGCGTTAGAGGCCTAAAACCCCGTGGGAAACATCGTGAAGCACGTCAGTGCTGGCCACTGTGGTGTCAATTAATTAATAAACGCCCGTTTCCATGCCGGACGGTTCAGGACGGGCTGGGAGCGACGGGGTGCCGTCACTAATTTCTGGGACGGCCGTCCGGCAGGAGTTTGTGGACGCTGCCAACTGTGTTGGGACGGTCAGGACGCCGTTTCCCGCTAAGGACGGACAGGGACGGCGTCGGACGGGCGTTTCTCCGTCGGGGACGCTTTCATTTTTACAGAGGTTGGCTAGAATAGTATTTCATAGAATAGAAAATATATAGTAGTTTCCCTTACCATGTTTCTCTTACCTGCTTATGTATTGCATAACTCTTCATCTTGTATACCAACATTATTAGTTCTAAGGCCACACCAATTTAATTTGTTGGTTCTCTGATGAGGGTCTGCATGGGGGGGTCCTGGCAACGGTTAACGGTAAATTCAGCAGGGCCGATAACGCTTAACGGTAAATTCAGGACGGTTGGCAACGCTTAACGGTAAATTGATAGGCTTTTTTTTCGAGCTGCACTGGACTTGGTATCCTCGCTTTGTGAGAAAAGGTGATCACTGACAAAATTACGTATACCTTACATGTAATGAAGCACCCATTAAAGGTATGTGTTCCCTGTGTTTCCCACCTGCCCTGTTCCCGGAGTGCGTCCACAAATAAAGGGGAGTCCGAGTCGGCCAGGGCTCTACCCAGCTTGACTTTTGCCCGTTCGCCCAGTCTTTACCGATGGATTTTGAGAGAGGAGCGCCGAAGGCGCTGGCAATCTGAGGGGGTCCGGGGGATGCTCCCCCGGGAAATTTAGGATTTTTAAGCCTTCAAAAACGCAATTTCCCGCATTTTGAGAGGCAAATTATGGTGTTGAGAGTGTTTGTCGGTACGCGGTCTTTCTAAAGCTTTCATATTTTTACTCAAGATATCAAGCGAGTCGAGCGCCAATGTAGGGGGGTCCGGGGGCCGGCATTTTTCCCCGGGAAATTTGGGATTTTCAAACCTTCAATGACGCCTTTTCCAGCACTTTGGGCGTAACGAAGAATTATTCTTTAACGCTTAACGCTGAATTTAGGATGACAAATAACGTTTTACGTTGAATTAAAACGACCAATAACGCTTCACGATGAATATACCGATAACGCTTAACGTTGAATTAGAGTGGGCCGGCAACGATTAACGGTGAATTAAAATAGCCCATAACGGTTAACGAAAAAGGGCATGCAGGCCCTCCCAAACTAACATGGCGACGTACCCTCCAAAAAGACCTGGAAAGTAAGGGGGTATCACTAAAGGATGCTGAGTCTCTCGCCAAAGACAGAGCAGAGTGGAGAAGACTTGCTGCCCAATGTGCCTTGCACGGGAGGAACTAAGTCTAAGTAAGTAAGTCTATAGTAGCTCAGTGTGTAGTCTATATAGTAGAATGTTAAGTAGGCAATTTCCCATCACCATATCGCTATCCTCAACAAAAGATAAGGCCACTGCAAGTAATTTTATGGATGACATCACGGGAGCATTAATTTTCGCCTGATTTTCGAGAAAAAAAAAAGAAATTTTGTTGCCTTCTGACAGTGGTCAACTTGCCGAAAATGGGCAAAAAGATGTCTGTTGCCATGCCGGAAGGTGGATGGCAGATAACTATGAAGAGAGGAGACAAGAAAAGGCTCTGAATTAATGTTTTGTTTCTTACTTTGATGCAGTGATATGTGATGCTGGCTGTGTATATGTGATGTTCCCACTGAATAAAAAACATTTGCACAATGATTGAGGCAAAATTTTAAAGTGTAAAAACCTTTTTTTTTTCGGTCTGCCTTGTTGTTTTTTTTTTTGCCCGCTCGCATTAGATTTCGAGTCTGCGGAGGATGTCATCCATGAAATGTACTTGCTGTGGCCTAACAGCCATTTGGGATTATGGAACCGATCTTACCATTAAAGTCTCCCATTAAAATCCTGTTGGTTAACCCCATACTCCCGAGTGCCAGTGTGTCTACTAGCGGCTGGTGAGACCTCATCATTGTCTGATCTTGTCTGTACCAGGGTTTATGGAAATAAACGATACCTGCAGGGAAATCACAATCTGCACCCTATCATCTGCTTGCAGGTCATGGGAGTATATGCCTGAGAGGAAACGTCGTGTGGCGTGATGGTTAGTTACCTCCATAAAAAATGGAGGTATTATTTTTGGCGCGTCTGTGTGTGTGTGTGTGTGTGTGCCGTGTGTGTGTGTGTGTTTCCGCACATTTGTAGTCAGCAGAACGCCTTTATGGATTGTGATTATATTTTTTTTTGGTATGCTGGTAGGTCTTAGGAAGCCAAAGGTCAAGGTCAAATATGGGCCTCCTGGTGGCTGATCTTGGTACTGCAGCAGAACTTCCGGTTTTCTATGGCAGGGAAAACAGATGTGCGGGTTATGCAACAAAACTCCAGCGGTCAGCGCGCTGGTTTGATTAATGAGGTTCTCCCTCTGGAATAGGCTGACCTACATATTTCAGGCCAAAGCTGCTACTGTATTAGGCCATGTTGATTTGATTATATGGATGACATCCTCCGGGAGCCCCAAAACTGATGCGCGCGTGCGAATAAAAAAAAAAGTTTTGCAAAAAAAAGTTCTTTTCATTATGAAATCTACGTGGTCATGAGGGTTGAGCAAATGGCACAGAATATGGTTTGGCGAATAATCTAGTCTTCAAGTTTATTTCTTAACAATTTCGTCTTTTTTCGTTTGATTTTGGTATTCTACGACATTGGTATAGTTTTTATAAATTTTTTTGTAACTTATGGTACATTTTTGCTCATTTTGCAACTGTTTTGCACGATTTACAGTATGGTTGAAAACTTTTTTTTTTGAAACGGCCGAAAATTCATGCGCGCGGATGTCATCCATATAATCAAATCAAAATGGCCTTAGCTGTTTGTTTGAAAGCAAAAGCCTGTGTTATTTTGTTCTGTACTGTAGTATACTGTGTAAAAACATTTACAAAAACTCATATATTTCATGGAGGTATGAGATCTCCGAATTCTTGTTAGGGGTGTTTGGCCAAGAACGCAGAGGCACTGGGTTCGAATCTTCTGACATGCCCCAGACCCCAGCTTGCGATTCAACCCCACCAAGTGTATTATATTAGTAATGTTCTATTAGTAATCTCCTCACAATTCAGCCCTTATAATTAGCTACAAGGAAAGCGAGTAGCCGGCCCACCCAATAACAATAAACTTTCTGAACTTATAGGTTTTGAGTTCCTTGCAACAAGACGTATGTCTGTATGTACCTGTTACGGTTGGGCTTTATGGCATATTGCATATTGTGTTTGTTGTTTTTCTTATGGCATTACTTCTACTTTTTATACCGCACCTCACATGTACATGTGTACTTGTAGTAGACACAAGAAACCAAGTACAAATAGAAGTGCAACCATCTTAAGAAAAACATTAGAATCCCCTTAAATGCGATTTCAGAGCAGCAAAACTGGGAATATTATGAATAAGGCAATCTTTGTGATATTGACACATACTAGTTCACATTTCAATCAGTATTACATACTTTGGGTATTTGAAAATGCAGAAACAAGCCCCAAGATGAGTCCTTTATTTTATGGGAGGTACCCTAAAAATCAGCTCAAGGCCCTTCAAGTAACCATTTTCCGTCACAATTTTGGGAATTTTTGCTCCATGAGGGTCAATATACATTGGTATAGTATGTAAATAAGCGACTAGAATATTGACTTAGAAAAATTGGGTTTCCAAGCCCTAAAAACTGCACCGGATGCCTAAGTCCGCCTCGTAGTGACTACTAATGACGCTAACCTGTGCGTATGACGTTTGAGCTTTAGTCTATCTTTAGCGTGGCCAGTTAGGCGGTCAAATCTGATTGGTTCTACAGAAGATCACCCAATCAATGCAGTGCTTGTAATGGCCAATCGGTGATACAGGTACATTTTGTAAGTCCTCGCTTATACATCTAAATCAGGCAGGTATATAGGTTAGCTTGCGTGCCAGACAGTGCTAGAAAGGACGGCGCACACAGAACATTGAAGCTGGGCTTTGTCAAATATCTCCTGCGACAACACCGGGTAGCGGCAGGAGACTTTACTCTTCTATTTCCCGAGATCATACCTGTTCTCTAGAAACCATCAACCTGCAATATATTCTTGCCGGACACTAGCTCCTCCAGTATGGATAACGCTACGGCGGGGAACTGGAGCTTTGCGAACGGCACGGACGGCTTCTACGTCCCGCCGCCGGACGCCGTCACGGCAATCGTGGGCCCGACGGTGTACGGGCTGGTGACGGCGGTCGGCCTGGTGGGGAACCTGCTGGTGATCTACACGCTGCTGGGACACACCAAGATGCAGGACGCTACGAACTTCTACATCCTGAACCTGGCGCTGGCCGACACGCTGTTCATGCTGGGGATCCCCTTCATCTCCGCCTCCTCAGCCATGGAGCGGTGGGTGTTCGGCAGGACCATGTGTAAGATCGTCCTGTCCATGGACGCCCTGAACATGTTCAACAGCGTGTTTAACGTGGCCGTGCTGAGCGTGGACCGGTACCTGGCCATCGTCTGCGCCGCGAGTCACCCGCACCTCCGCCGGCCCAGGGTGGCTGTCGCCGTCAGCCTGTCGGTGTGGGCCGCGGGCCTGCTGCTCACCGTCCCCGTCATGACGGTCAGCGACACCGTGCCGATGGGAGACGGGAACGACATGTGCATGCTGGACTGGCCCGCCGAGAACGCCCTGGTCTGGTACAAAGCCTTCACGTCTTACATGTTCATCATGGGCTTCGTCATCCCCCTGGCGGTGACCAGCGCGTCGTACCTCCTGGTCGTCCGCCACCTGAAGCAGCGCGTGCCCGCCAACAACGCCGCAGTGGCCGAGGCCTCCAACAGGGTGCGGACCAAAGTGACGCAGACTGTCTTCGCCCTGATCGTGACCTTCGTGATCTGCTGGCTGCCGTTCCACGTGTGCCAGCTGGTCAACCTGGCGTCGGATCTGCAGCCGACGCCCGTCATCGCGGCGGTGTTCCACGTGGCCATGGTCATGTCGTACGGCAACAGCTGCGCCAACCCCGTCCTGTACGTCTTCACCAGCCAGAAGTTCCGGCAGAGCCTGCGGGCCGCGCTGCGCCTGACGCCGCGGGACCACGCCGCCGAGCGCGCGAGCTATTACCTCCACACGAGAGACCAGGACGCCGCTCGCAGGAGGCGGGACAGGGACGTCTTCTTCCAGGAAGAAAACCAGGTAAATCTTCACGATCACGCAGCTCTGCATTCGGCTCCTCAAGTAGTCATGTATGAAACTTCTGTGTAGAGAGAGAACTGGGAAAGAAATCAAAGACATCCAATGCAAGAGCGGCAAAATTGGATTTTCGGTCAATTTTCTGGTCATACTTTTAATGATCATGAAGTACATGTAAGTTCCCCGCCCAACCCTCTCTCCCCGGCAAAGTCCCTCGGCGGCAAAACCGTCCCTCCGCGGCATTACCCGCGTAGCTCCCAGTAAAAAAATTAACGCCGCCGCCTCACAAGTCTGCGAAGGAGGCTAGTGTACAACCAAGGAGGTTAAACCTCTTCAATTGGTAAAACATGCACTGGTAATTATAAATAAAGAATTAAGAGTCATAAAACAAGAAATCACAACAAACGTGTACACCTGTAAAATTATTCCACGATGAACCAATGTAACCCAAAATACGTCTTGAAATTTTATCTACTAGTAATTGAAGAACTGTCCTATCATTTATTGTTTTATATGAGTGATTTTGCAATTTATACTAGTCTGTTATTAAATGATTCTTATATTGGTGAATTGTTCTTACGTGCATTGTATTGTATTGCTGTTTTGGTTGCAATCGTATTATTTCTTGAGGTATGTCATTAATTCACGTATAATACTAGATATGTTATTAACCTATGTATATAATACTAGGTATATGTTATTATATTAACGTAATCTTTGATGGAAGTTCTAATACGATGTATTATAATTGTCTTGGTCGTCAACGTATAATTTCTTCACTGTCAGATTGATAGAGTGATTTTGAAAGTACATGTAATGATAGGTATGTTATATTAACTTAATCTTTGATTGGCGTTCTAATACTATATGTATCATATTATTGTTACGTTGGTCGTTATCGTATAATTTCTTGACTGTCATATCAATAGGGTGATTTTGCAAGTGATGCTAGTCTGTTACTGACTGATAATTTTGTGTTGACGCGCCAAGAATATTTGTTTATTGATATGTTATTTGATTATAGTGTTTTTATATCGTCTAAAGACATGCATTTGGTTTCATAAATTTGTGGCTTTTTGACGGTAAAATGTTCGTGGTAAAATACATGGTATGATTTTTGACTGTCAGACCAATAGAGTGATTTTGAAAGTGATACCTGCTAGTATATAGTCTGTTGTTATTGACTGATAATTGTGTTGACGCGCCAATGATGATTTGAAATTGGGACCACTATTTGTTTATTGATATGTTACTTGATTATACGTTAAGAGTTCAAACTTTCGATCCAACACAAAAGGTTCTCTCACCTAGAGCTTTCGACCAGTCACTCTGGTCTTCCTCAGTAGACTGACCCAGTGAGGCTTGTCACGTGGCTTCTTTGAAGTGTAACGTCAACACTGGGTGTAGGTGAGAGAATTTTTTTGCGTTGGATCGAAAGTTTGAACTCTTAACATGTAACTACCAACACAGATGAACTTTCATGATAGATATTTGATGATATAGTCTTTTGATATTGTCCTAAGATATGCGTTTGATTCAATAAATTTGTGGCTTATGACGGTAGAATATTCGTGTTGTGTACATTGAGTTTTGGATGGACTCTTGTCGATAATTCAACCAGTCAACCAGAGTAAATCAACATCTTCGGTCATCTACGGTGACTGACATTTTACTACCCGTGCATAAACTCATGTTCTTCACACAAGCAAGGCTAGTTCCATTAAGACTGATCAAGAAAGATAAAAAGATACTAGTAAATCAAACTTTGAACAGAACTTCCTGTTTTGCCATCAGTGATAGCTGCTAAGCAACTGGTTGCTTTCTTCTTGCGAGCTTCAAAGAATCGCTCATTGATATTTTTCTATAAACATTAGAGTCTCAAATCAACTTCCGACACAGCCTCACAGGTACCTGCTGAGTTCAAAAGAAAGACCTGCGTCAGAAAACAGACAACATAAATATATCCACTCGTCTTCTGCGAAAAACATCGGTGCGGCTGTTTGATGGCAGATCTATTCTGTCATTCACACTACGGGAGATCCACCAAGAAAGACTTACAGTCCTCCCACACAATTAAGAAAGATTGGAGATAAATCAAAGTTTAAGTAGGACGTACTCATTTCCTCAGCATTTACTTAGTGATTGTATCAAACAGAAAATAGATGAAAGGTCTGAAAAATCTAATCGCAGAGAGCGCCGAGCAACCAAGGCCGAGAGTGGTGAAAACAACCACAAGGTTAGCTTCATCAAGAGGGATATGAAGAGTGATTTTCATGATACATATCGCTAGTTTCAAACAGGTAAAATTGAATCGACTTTCAAGCAGCTGCAGTGGCGCGGCGGTACTGTGCAGTCTGCATTGCACCAAGGACAGGTTTTCCTGTGTGTGGAAGGTGTTCAGCACCAAGGACAGGTTTTCCTGTGTGTGGAAGGTGTTCAGCACCAAGGACAGGTTTTCCTGTGTGTGGAAGGTGTTCAGCACCAAGGACAGGTTTACCTGTGTGTGGAAGGTGTTTATTCTACCACGGAATAAAATGCCCGTGAAAATACATGAATTTACAATTAATAAGAAAATTGGGAAAGTGTTATGTTTCATACTGTGGCCACATAACAGCTTATTCTTGAAAACGTTTATTTGTGATTTTCATCCATTTTTATACCGAGATTGATATTAACGTTAGTATTCTTCGTAATTAGATAATCTAATCGTCCTTCTTCGACACATATAAGTGCCTGGCACCGAAACGGGCCGTCATTGGTCGTCATAATTAGATTATCAACTTCACGTTAATTATACACGGCCGTTCTGCACACCTGTGTAAAAACAAGTTTGGTATCGTCCGTTCAAAATGGCGCTTTCGTACGACGGGGATACACTGGGCTGATTTTTTACTACAGATTTCTGGATGCTTTTTAGCGTTATCGTCGGTAGAATGTCTTAAATAAGTATGCAGCTGAATGTCTGGGAGTTTTTGCTGTGGATTTGTACCGATCTGGTGATGTTTTGAGAAGAAAATGCGGATTTCCTGACCTGGCGAATTTTGGAGAAGACAAAAATGGCGAGACAGTTGGGAAGAGTGGCGTGGTATGGAGACGACTTCGCTTATTGTTGCAGGTAAACCAGCAACTTGTTTGGCTGACATTATTCCTTAGCAACTATAGTGCGAACAAGTCAAGTTATATTGAATTTTTTTCCGTAAGAAATTACCTATTTCTGTTTTAGGGAGCGACCGTTCCTAATTTCATACAGGCTTAGATTAGAAAAAGTCTATCAAGTTGCCGCGTTTTCAACAACATTTTCAATGTGCCGTGCACTTGTAGAGTGTTGATATGTATGTGCATGTCTTTTTAGTGAATTGGTCAGCGTTTTGAGGTTATATCTGTTGAAAGAAATTGTGTATCGACCACTGGTTACCCTTTTTTTTATCTCCACGTGGTTCAAAACACCTGTTGGAATGTGGCCGTGTACATAATTAGTTATTTTTCCCGCCAAAAATTTGCGTAAACAAGATGGGGGCCTCAAAGCTTCAGGGCGCCTACGATACAAAACGTTTGAAAACATGTCGAGTTAACCATACTTTCGTTCTTCATTATCACTTGCAAGGTATTATGATTAATTTAAAAGCTTGTTTGTTTCGATTTTAGAGTAATTCAGTAAAGAGTAATGACCAAGCCCAGTATTTCTGGCGCAAACGCTACAGTTGACTATATAACGGTTAAAGGTAACAATTCCTGTTTTCAAAACATTTTGCGCCGATTTTTTCGTATTCCACATAAAGTTTCAGTTGAAGGGGGTTGATTTATTTTACTGTTGTTTCTATTCCCGTTTTATGGTTATTATGTAGAGTTTTCGTGGAGGTATGTGTTTGTTTTAAAGTAAAGACATTTAAGGTGAGTGCGTGCATTGCTACTTTTTAATAACAATTTTCCAACATATATCTGTATGATTAGATGATGGCTGATGCAGTAGTTTGAACTACTGTCTGAACCTGACAAGACAGATTTGACCAGATGATTTGAAGACCAAAGAGGAATATCAGGTGAGAAAAATCTGAATTCTGCATTTTACCTACAGTTATTTGGAGTTAAGACAAGTGTGTAACATCTAATGTCTGTGCCCAAGTTAGGTGGTTGCTGACTGATGCAGTAGTGAGGGCTCTTGCCTGAACCTGACAAGACAGACTGGACCTGACCAGATGATTTGAAGACCCAAGAGGAATATCAGGTGAGAAAATTCCAATTATGTATTTTATCCACCATTTACTTGTGGTATTATTTATGACAAGTGTGTAACTTTTAATCTCTGTGTACATTGTTGTTACATGTAATGTAGGTGGCTGCTGACTGATGCAGTAGTGGGGACTACTGTCTAAACCTGACAAGACAGACTGGACCTGACCAGATAATTTGAAGACGAAGAGGAATATCAGGTAAGAAAAATCCCAATAATGCATTTTAACTATGGCTATTTGGTGTTACTTGAGACAAGTGTGTAACTTCTAATGTCTGTGTCCAAGTTAGGTTGCTGCTGACTGATGCAGTAGTGGTGAATTCTTTGTAAACTTGACAAGAGTAGATTGGACCAGGCCAGGTGATTTGAAGACGGACGATGACTCTCAGGTGAGAAAAATCTGAATTCTGCATTCAGCCTACTATTTACTTTGTTATCTGAGACAAGTGTATAACTTCTAATGTCTGTATAGTTAGTTGGCTGCTGACTGATGCAGTATTGAAGACTACTGTCTGAACCTGACAAGAGGAGATTGGACCAGATTGGGTGACTCAAAAACACAAGAGCAAGATGACAACAACAACATCCACAGGTGAGACAATGCTTTAGAAGATCTGTTTGACTCCAGCACTCTTCCCTTATGTCTTACACTTTATAGAAATAACACACATGTAGCAAACCATCTTTCACATAAATTTTGTATTGCCTTTGACTTGAATAAATGACTAGTATATTAGACTTCTTGAGCACTTGTCAACATTTCTAGGAAGAGGCAAAGTAAAAGGTCGCATACAAGATTTCATATTTACCTGGTAGCTAGTTACCCATTCATACAATAGTC